ACCAGTTCCTAATGCTGCTGTTAAAGTTTTAATCTCCAAAAAGCAAATAAAAGCTGCAATGCATACAAAACCTAAAGCGATTGCTGATGATACCCAATTGATATTAAGGAATGCAACTATAGATTTAGCTTCGGCAGCATCTTCTATGTTACGTCCACCTATAGCAGCTTTGATCCCAATAAAACTCGCTACTACCATAATACCTCCTGACATCAGAAGTATTACTGGTACAGCTTGAGGTTCATAAACATCTTTGAGAAAAGTGATTTGTTTTTCCAGAGAGTTTCTGACGTACCAGCTTAATAACATAAATATAACACCGAAATTAGCGGACAGAAAATAGCACACTAATAAAATGAGAGCAAATATTTGTCTCAAGGAATCACTAATATGGATAGCAAAGACATAATCAATTTCTTTTTCGACCGTTGTTATTAATGAATCAATTTCTTTCGCATCATCTGATAGCTCTTCTTCACTTTTGATTTTCTTCTTCTCACTTTCAACTTTCTTTTTCTTCTTTTTATCTTTCTTTATCTTGTCTTTTTCTTCTATTAAATCCTCTTCCTCTATTTTTTTCTCAGTCCGTTGCTTTTTGCCTTTTTTCTTTTTGCCTTTATTAGCCATTTACTATAATTTATTATTTAGCAGTCTCCAATAAGAGCAAATGATCTGTATTTCAATAATTAACCTATTTTTGTACTAAAATAACAAAGCAATGCTTTAATGTCACAAAAATGTCATTGATAAGATTATGTTCATAACATCTGACGAATATAAGTTTATTAAAAAGAATACAAAGCAATATTAAAACTTCGATGCAAGTTCACTAAAAAAAAATACATTCACAAAATATTTTATTAGTAATTACGGTATACACTCTCAGCAAACCTCAGACCTTGTTATGCATTCAATTCTAAAGTTATTTGTTAGATAAATTTTGAAAAAGTCGAAAATATTATCAGGGCATTTTAACAATAAGAACTGTTTTATAATATTAATTTGAAAATGATAATAAGAATTCTTTTGCACTTTGTTGCATACCTCTGTTATTTGACCTTTGTTAATAGTCTTTACTATCGTATCGTTATCCTATTTATACGTTTACATCGTATTATCGAATCGTTATCGTAAATTGTACTTATCGTATCGTTGTTGTTACTTTGTTATTTATCATAAATTATTTAGGTGAGTTTGAACTTCTCTTCAGGAAAAATTCTGATAAATAAAATAAAATGATGCAAGAAAAATTCGTTTTACAGCACGAATTTGAATTCAGTTTTAAGTTTAAGTTTTTATTTAGTTTAGGAATTTTAAGCTTTGGTTCTAACGTCAAATTATTACCAAGTTTGAGATTATTCTATGTTCCAAAATATGCCTTACATAGCCCTATCAAATATTTTGCAATATTTAAGCCACATTTCTAAAATCCTAGAAAGGAAAGATAAAGAAAAGTAAGGACATTTATCAAATTATTATCCTTTTTTTCAATTAACCTCGAACTAATCAATTAAAAACACATGAGCCATAGAAAAATATATTGGACCGATTATTACCTTTAAGGGAAAAAGGATTTACTAACGTTTGCTTAAGACAAACATCCTCTGCAATTCAGAAACTTGCATACGCAAATAAAACCAGATTATGATATGGCTGATGGATATATATACTACACGTGTAAGATAAAAATATGAAAGAAAATTACTAAATTAGCAGTAGCCCTTTTAACTCCAGATTTTATTTGCCTAAGCGTCCCTTCAAAACTACTACGTCCACTGACGTCATTAGTTCGTACTACGTCATTGACGTCATTTAATCTTCTGCAGTAACCTGCCAATGTTGTAAACTCTTGCCCAGTTACTGTTCAGGATTCTAATAAAGGATTGACTTATTTATAAGTCCTACTAAAGTAAACAGTCACTTTTCCATGCTTACTGTTGCCCGAGTAGCCCTAGTCTCTTCGCTGAGTTATTTCTTCTAGTTCGCTATTTAAAATGTGATCAGTGTATATAGAATTGTGGGGCGATTATAGCACCCCTACTATTGTGCTAATTCAAGAAGATATGTCTTAATAGCTTAGTCGTTGTAAAATAAAGCTACATTATGAGTTTCCAAGTATTTGTGATTTTTCCAAACTTCCAACTTGCCATGACACAATTTGCATGTAAGGTACATCTGTCACCACTCTGGCCATGATTAAAAAGTTAACTGGTGCCTTCTTCTGAAAAATTATTAAAAATTAAAATTGTTACGTATATATAACAGCTTTTGTATCACGACCACTAGAAAAAAAAAAGCTCGCCTAGAATGAAAAGTGACACGTGTCAGCCTAATTCACAGGATAGCCAATAAAGAATGAAGTAAGAACATAATTTAATGTTAATAATTTAATATGACTGCTGGTTAAGAAAATTGAATGTGGGTTTGTTAATAAATAGTATTTCATATTCAAATGGTCCATTTGCGAGAGATTAATATCCATGTAACAAAAGTTGACCGTAAAATTAAAAAACCATACCAACACTCATAGCCGAGTGATTAATTAACCTATTTTGTAATATCCAAGAATGTATTTTATTCTTCTTTTAAGATACTTGCTTTAAGTAAAACGAACATACTAATAGTCATGTGTTTTCAGGCTGAAGAACATACGCTACGAAGGCACGAAATGAATACATTACGCAATAGCAACTCCACGACGTCCACCTCCAGTGGATCCCATCACATGTTAATATTAGTGGTAATGAGGTCGCTGATAGACTGGCAGAAGAGGGTGGTGGAAATGAAACGGTCACTGGCTCTTCGCTTAAGTACCGAGAACTTCACTTAAATGAAAGATCTAAATATAATAGGGCGTATTCCACCTACGCACCCAATGGTACATAGGAACATCCCCTGGCTCCCTATTGGAAATGAAATGTGACTGTGGCTCACACACTGCTCTGGCTAGACTAACAAGTGGCCACCTTAAATGTCTTTCCTTTGATAGTGGCAGAAAAATCCATCCCATTTGTATAAAATGCTAAGACCATCTAGCTTCACCGGATCACATACTGGGTTGCATCGGACTTTCTAAGGAGGACATAACATCCAATCCCCTCACTGTTATTGATTTTTTGGCGGTCAAGAACCTTTTGGAATGTCAGATCTTTCGAGGGTAAGCAATAGCAACAACACTACTTCAGTTAGTATCGTTGACTTCTTTTTTCTTAAACATGTTAATGATCCCCTGGCAATCACTGTTCTGGATGAGCTTTCATACAATCATAACCCGGTGAAAGTAATTCTGAATAACAGTAGACTGCTTCAGCTAGTATCGTTAACTTCTTTCTTCTTAAACATGTTAATGATCCCCTGGCAATTACTGACTGGCATTTATGTGTCAAAGCTCTAAACAACATATATATCGTTGATACACTCTACCAACGATACCATCGGGGGAATAACCTCGACAATCTTATAGAAAGCCTCACTAATGACATCAATGATTAAGCTAAAAAAGAAATTAAAACTCATAGGATTACGAGATCAAAAAAGCTGGACGTTATAATCAAGGAAACAAACGCAGCTCGACGAAACTACCAACGCGCACGGTGACGAGAGGACAAGTGCAAGTCAAAGCAGTCAAGTCTCTAATAAACACCCAAGCACAACTCGACTCGACAAATTACCTTAACTCGCTTTGTCCAAGAAAAAACGTTCACGAACTTTTTGTGGAGTGTCTTCGTTATACAAAAGTGACCTCCAGTAGGGCTGCTATAGAACTCGAGGTCTTGGCATTTGTTCATTTGAAACTCATTCTGTCCTCTGTTTCCCATCTGCCATATAGAACTCCAACTTGCAGCTGAAAGAATTCCATATTAAATTAAATTTAAATGGATTCGGATTAAAGGGAGGGTTATTTCTTCCCAGCTTGTGTTTCCATTAAGACACTGCGGTTGCCTGAGCCCATTACCCTACCCCGGATTAAAAGCTTAAAAATTTCGAAATAATGTACTTGATAATAAGTTAAAAAATAAAGTAAAAAAATTGTGTTATTGAATTTTTTAATCTATTTTAAATTTTAATTAATTAATTAGTTGGAGGAGATTGTTCAGAAAGCTGACAGAGTTGGAACAACTGAGAAGTAGATGGTCTTTCCGGCCTTATATAGTTTTATTCATCAGGCCGCAGAGATATCTCTAGCACTTTCTGCTTCGAATTTATTGGAGGCAATATGATGGTCGAATTACGGTTACAGCTAATATAGTGATCAATTACATTTATTCAATTACAATACCTATTAGTCTGATAAAGAGAACCGATCAAAATGCCGTCAAACAGTCGCCAAGTTTGGCGAAGTTTTGGCGATTCCTCGTCAAATTACCGAGATACCAGTTTATTCAATATTAAGTGGACTTGCCCTGTATTTTTACTTTTCCGGTATAGCTTGCCTCTCTAAATTTCTTTTTACATTGCATAATACAGAAAAATGCAATTTCACATATAGTTGCACTAAAATCATCTATCTATGTACAAAATTCGTAGCAACAAAAAAACAAGTTCGAGGCTATGTAAGGCCGAAAAGACGCGGTTGTAAACAAAGTCGGAAAAAGTGTCTCTTCTGTCAAACAACAAATCGAAGAGAAAGGCTTTCTGCTGTCGAACAACAAATCGATTATAAAGTTTCTGATGTCGCCAAAGAAGTTGACAGCTTAAAGAAATTCATAGCGACTGCAGGAAGCAATACTGACGGTTTTAAATTTTTATCATGCCTTCTTGGCCCTCTCTAAAACTAAGAAAATAAGGCCCAGACAACATAAAAATGTATAAAATAATAATTATTATAGACCTGAGAAGATGAAAGAGGAGTGCCAAGGAGCCTAAACATGTTTGTATCTTAGAGTGCAATAAACAAGACGGCAAAGTAATGAAGACATCCATATGACGTATCACCTAATACTAATCTAATATTGTGTCGTAAATATGTATATGTTGAGTGGGGTGTTGGAAATACTAACCTTACGGAATTTGACTTTCTTTTGGAAATCCAAACTAGATCCAAACTCTTAGACGTAGAGAGAATTGTAGTTGTTTCTGACACATCTTATCGCTGTGTTGAAATTAACTGCAAAATCATAAAAATGTTTTAAATTAACCTATTGGAATATTTATATCCACAAAGATTCTTAGGATTTGTAATTGAAAAATAATAAAATTTGCACGATATAAGCCATAAAAACCAGATGAAACGCTTCCACGTAACTATCATACAGCAAAAATATGAATAAAAAATTTCTGGCAATAATTTACAAATGTACAAGAGAAGCTTCAGAAACTGTTCTAATCATTACGAAGTCAACAACCATTCCTGCGATGGATAAAATTTATAAATCTAAGTACTAAAATTATTACAAAAAGTACATAAATAAGTTAAAGAAAGAAATCCCTCCACGTTCGCGGGCATTCCTAATTTTAAGGAGCAAAAATGCCTAACATGTAACGGACATTCTTCTGTGTCCCACCTAATGGCAGATGCCTTGTATCCTTTCCAAGACAAGTTTGTTAAGTTACAGATGATAAATAACAACGTGTCTACATTTTTGAAGGATATGTATTAACAAACTAATAAATTTACATATATTATTTAATTTGAGCGCATGTATATATCATTAATAAAATAAATTTTGATTTACAAGAAATTAAATTACACATATTACTCATGATTAGAATACATGAATTTTGAAATGTTTAAAATGCATAAATTAATAATGATTTACTTTAGATTATACTATTTTGAATTTCAAATGCTATGTTGTACTATCTATGAAAACAAAGTTTTAAATATTAGTTAATTAAAAAATTAAATAGTAAGTAATATTTATTAGTTAGCAATATTGTTAAGTATGTTTAATGCTTAAAATTACTTATTCTAATTTTACATTCTTATTCTAGATGCATTTACTTTAGATTAATATATTTAGATTAATTAATGAAAAATTACAAATTAAATCTTGTGAGAAGCCCAAAGTTTTAAAATGGCAGAATTTGTCTATTCGCATTCAAAAAGTTAAAGCTGCAAAACTATGGGAGAAAAAAAATTAAAATTGATCCAGGGGGGGGGGGGGGGGGGGGGGGGGGGGGGATGGGGGGGGGGGGGGGGGAGGGGGGGGGGGGGGGGGGGGGGGGGGGGGGGGGGGGGGGGGGGGGGGGGGGGGGGGGGGGGGGGGGGGGGGTCTGAAAGCGGTCATTTCACGACGCTTCATCCAATGTCAACAAAATGCTAAGATGCGATTGCAGATATTTTGCATCTTCTCTGGTGCGGTAAAGATATCGTAAAGGTTACCACGACGCATTGCAACCAGTCGGACCATTTTGCACGTCTTTACTACGCCTTGTGTTGCTTGGAATAGATTACAATTAGTTCATTTAAAATCGCATTCAACAACATTGATTCAAAATTCTTTACTGTTGGAGCCTCACAATTAATTATGTTTTAGTTGCATTATGACCACAAATGTTGTGATAGCTAAAAATTATTTCGGTTTTTCAGTGCATTTCTCTAAAGCAGTGTAATTATAAAAAAGTTTATATTATATGTATTATTTTATTCAACAAGAATATAGTTTAAAAATAGATAATAATTAAAAGCTGCTACATTCTAAAATGTTAAGCTACTGCAGCATAAATTTTCTCAACTTGTATGTATAATTTCGTATCAGATTCGCATCGCGTGAGAAACTATGATCGAGCTAAGCTGTGTTATTACTCTTTAAAGACGCGTCTTAGTTTATTTAAGTGGAAAAACAATGCTTTGAGTTTTAAACTTGGGAATATTTTTAAAATTGTTTTCCAATTTTGAAATTTGATTTCTTATTAGAAAATTAGTCCGTAAAAGTGTCTCTTGCAGTAGTTTTTGTTCATATGGAAAACACAAAGGCATATTGCTTTTTTTAAATTTGTTAACTGTTTTAAATCTGTTGTTTGAAAAAATATTGCTTTTATTGCAAACAAAAGCACGCCTTTCCGTTCTCTTTCTTCATGTAAAGAGTAGTGGAAAAATGACTGCAAGAACTCGAAGCGAAAGTATGCTAGAACGTCGTAGACAGATTAGTGTCACAGGGTTACCTACTCTAGATGACGTAACAGAAATTAAGAAAGGATTTAACAGGTGTATTCACTATTGGCTTATTAAAGACAGGAATGTAGCTAATACTCGAGATTATTATAATTCTTTAGCCTGGACTATAAGAAATCGCTTAGCTGGACGTTGGATAAGAACTGAACAATTACATTACGCTAAAGATCCCAAACGTGTTTATTATCTGTCTTTGGAATTTGATATAGGAAGAAGTTTAAGAAATGCAATTATGAATTTAGGAATGAGAGAAACTTGTGACCAAGCGTTATATGAACTTGGTCTCGATCTCGAAGAACTTGCAGATGCTGAAGAAGATATAGGATTGGGACATGGAGGTCTTGGTAGATTGGCTGCATGTTTCTTAGATTCCATGGCTACTCTGGGCCTAGCGGCTTACGGATATGGCATTCGTTATGAATATGGAATATTTCGTCAAAGAATCGAAAATGGAGAACAAAGGGAAGATCCTGATGATTGGCTAGCTTTTGGAAACGTATGGGAAAGATCTAGAGCGGAACATGTGAATGAAGTACATTTTTATGGCAAAGTTGTCAAAGATTTACGTGGTTATAAATGGGTCGATACGCAAGTCGTAAATGCTATACCCTACGATTATCCTATTCCGGGCTTTGAAAATAATGTAGTAAATATTCTGCGTTTGTGGTCTGCAAGATCTCCAACAAGTTTCGATCTCAATTTTTTTCATGACGGAGATTACATCAAAGCTGTAATAAAACGGAATGAAGCTGAAAACATTACTCGCGTACTTTATCCAGCAGACAATTTTTTGCTAGGAAGAGAACTTCGATTAAAACAAGAGTACTTTTTCGTTACCGCTGCAGTTCAAGATATTATACGCCGGTATAAATTCTGGAAGTTTGGAACCAATGAATCTATGCGAAAGACATTCGAAAAATTCCACACTAAAGTTGCTATTCAGTTAAACGATACCCATGCATCTCTTGCAATTCCAGAACTAATGCGAATTCTTTTAGATGTAGAACACTTGTCTTGGGAAAAGGCGTGGGATATTACGACAAGGACCTGCGCCTATACAAATCACACGGTTTTGCCTGAAGCATTGGAAAAATGGCCAGTAACTATGTTCGGAAACCTTTTACCTCGTCATATGCAAATTATTTACGAAATAAACGCTAAATTTCTTAGAGAAGTTAAACAAATATGGCCAGATGATACTGACAGACTGAGCCGAATGTCTCTGATAGAAGAAGACGAACCAAACAGAATTAATATGGCTCATTTAGCCATAATAGGTTCTCACACTGTTAATGGAGTGGCTGCTATACACACGGAGATTTTAAAAAAAGATCTTTTCAAAGATTTTTATGAAATGATGCCGTATAAGTTTCAAAACAAAACAAATGGTGTGACTCCTCGACGTTGGTTATTGCTTTGCAATCCTGACCTTTCTGAGGCTATTAGTGAAAAAATTGGAGACCAGTGGATCACACATCTGGATCAACTTCAAGAATTGAAAAACTACCTTAATGACAGAGATTTTATTAAAACCATTATGAAGGTTAAGCAAGCAAATAAGACTAAGCTAGCGAATTATCTTGCGCAATATTACAATGTGCGTATCAACATCAAGTCTATGTTCGACGTACAAGTGAAGAGATTTCACGAGTATAAAAGACAGTTACTTAATTGTTTACACATTATCACAATGTATAATAAAATTAAAAGAAATCTTGATTCTCCATTCGTGGCGCGGACTGTAATAATTGGTGGAAAAGCAGCTCCAGGTTATCATGTAGCGAAAGACATTATTAGACTAGTTTGCGCAGTAGCAAGTGTTGTTAATAATGACAGTGTTGTAGGTAACAAATTGAAAGTAATTTTTTTAGAAAATTATAGAGTAACACTTGCTGAAATTATTATACCAGCTGCTGATCTCAGTGAACAGATTTCAACGGCTGGAACTGAAGCTTCAGGAATAGGGAATATGCAATTCATGATGAATGGAGCTTTGACCATATGCACCTTAGATGGAGCTAACATTGAAATCAAGGAAGAAGTGGGTGATGAGAATATATTTACATTCGGTATGACAGTTGAAGAAGTAGAAGAGATGAAATGCAAAGGTTATGATGCGTGGAGCTACTACAAGAGGCTAGATGACTTGAGAGAAGCAATAGATCAGATCAATGACGGTCATTTCTCTCCTCATGATCCACACGCGTTTAAAAGTCTTGTTAATATTTTGATGAATCGTGATCGTTATTTTGTTCTGGCTGACTATGAATCTTACATAGAATGCCAGGAAAAGGTTAGCGAACTATACACTAAACCACAAGATTGGGTGAAAATGGCAATAATAAATATTGCATCTTCCGGGAAATTTTCAAGTGATAGGACAGTTAACGAATACTCAACAGAAATCTGGGGCGTGACACCAACATACGAGAAGTTGCCTGATCCAGATAATCTTAAAATTTTATAATTTTTTATGATTTCAAATGTTGTCTGAATTTCGAAATTATTGGTTTCAGACGGTGTACATGTTTTTATTGTTTAATCTGAAGATTTCAATAAAGAGTATCAGAAGTACTTAATTTATTCTTTCATTCTGAATACAAGTATGATCATAATAGTTATTTTGAAATTCTGATCTTGACTGGTGATTTTATTGTTTTTTTTTTTTTTTTGGTTGCTGCTTGATTTTCACGGGCACCCGTCATAAAAAGGGCACCAAGATTAGCGCCAAGCTACCATGTCTCTGGATTGCTTTCAGTATGGCATCGAAAAGCTTATCTTTCCCACAGGATTTCCGCCACATGAATTCCGAAAGATGACGTCGAACCATACCTTTTTGCGATACTTCTCCGTTTCGCCTGCGCAAATCTCGCAAAGCAGATTTTATTGGCGACAACATACAGTATACACATAAAAATGTTAACCAAGGTTAGTTCTAAGAACTTTTTATTTTGAAGGCATAAACATTTTAATGTGGTTTAAAATTTTGTAAAAAGCCAATAAATAAAGACAATAAATTTGTAAAAAGACATTAATTTAAGAATTTACTATTCTTGGTACAACATCCTGATTCGCCGGTGCATATCACATGACCCCAAGTGATCTTATCTCACGTAAACTATGCTACAAAAATCTAATTCTCTCAGTAATTATCTACAATAATGTCAAGTTAAATCTTAAATAAAATCTTATGGAATACAAGTTTAAATGCAAGAATTATTTCAATTCGTACGAATAGCTTACTCAGAAATTATGTACAACCGCAGTGCTCTACTTCGCTAGTGCATTCTCATTAGATTTGATGAATTTAACCCTTGATTTTGCCTTTTCTATATTTTCCCCTTCGGGTGAGTGGTGTGATTGCATCCTAATTAATTACCGCGAATGATCTTAGGGCAAAAAATTTAACTATCTTGAAAAAATTCTATGTAATTGTATGCCAGTATTAGAAACAATCAATCTGATAAAAAAATGGCTGCGACTTGTTTTGAAAATGAAGGGTAAAATGTTACCGGCGAAGATATTCCGTTTGGCATCAGTTGTATCCTTATTGGCGACTTTATTGCTTGCGCCGGCAAAACGGAAAAGTACCCTTTTTGCTTTTTGTTTTGCCATGTTGTTTGCCAAGCCTCACGAGCCAAGCCAAGCAGTTCTTTCTCGAGCTCGTAGAAAGGAATCATTCTGATTAATGAGGCTCTAAATGTTAGCAATATTTTGTCTGTAGTGCAAGTGATGTGAAAACATGATACCAATATGGCATTTCGCGATTTTATAGTGAAAAAGAAGTTTACGCAAGAAATAAAGTTATTCTCAAGTCTAGTCAAAATAAGGCCATAGAGAACATACTGCATCCGTGAGTAAAATAGCTATAACATATTAACTGAAATTTTGAAGAATGTGATACAAGAAAGAATATCATGTTTTTCCAAGCAAAATATTATTCTGTGTAAGATTATTTAAGTTAATTCTGTCATAAGTCAATTTAGTGTTATTACTTGGTGCTGTTGCTGTCATAGCTCATTAGCCTGAAATACTTAGAACAAACCCACACGGGTGACGGGCGTATCCAAGAGGGTGCAGGAAGGTGTACTTGCACCTCCTAAATAAATAATATTTTTTCCCTGCTCCAGATATTAACAAGCAAAATCTTCGTAATTTTTGTTTCTTTTTTGTAATTATTCTGCTGAACTTTTTCAGTGCAAAAATTTAAATACCCCTAGACAGACAATCTTTTCCTCACCTCAGAATTTGTCATTCACAGTTTGGCAGTAGGTCTGACACTTGATAACGGGATAGCTTTTTGTCTAAACTTATCTTAAAGGATATAAAGATTAGTGGGTAATTTACTGTTATTTCAGGAGTTTTCATTCGACAGTACTTGCTTTTTTCCCTATTAGTTGCAAATAAGTATATCATTTCCTAAGTACCCTCGGGGAGAGGGTCAAGTGAAGCTTAAAAATTAGGACTACTACATTTGAGCTTCTCAGATTTCTGTTGGGTTAATGAGAATAGTCATATGCGCCATGTAAGCTGCCGATCTATTTATGAATCCCTTTTCAACTACGTTTGCATTTACTCTTTGCTTTTTTTTTATTCCGTCAACCTTTACAATGTGGAAACATATACAAAATTCAGTGAACTTTGCGTTTTTACATTAAATAAACCTAAAATTCCTTTCTAAAATGACTCAGAACAGTTTAGCGTAATTTGTAACGTAAATAACAAGCTTGAGCTTTGCCCAGGATCAGAAAAAAATATCAATTATTGTTAGAGGAACCCAATTAACACAGTACAGCGTATTTCCAGGGTCCCCCAATTGACACCAGTGTCACGAGGAATTTAGGGTCTTCTAAAACAAAGACAGAAGTTTGAACCTTTTGTCTTTAGCAATAACCATACCCTGTTGTTCAATGTTTTGCAATACAACCTAAATATACATGCATATTTTTCGTAATTAATAACTCAAAAGTCAGCTTAAGAAGTCACAGGTGGTCATAAGGACACTTCCTCTTTATACGAAACCTTAGCGGCCTAAATTTTCACATGGCAGCACCTATTTATTTTCTGCACAAATTAATCAGCGCGTCGAAAAACCATAAATGCGGGTGGAATGATATACGTGTGATGAAAACTATAGACGTAAAACATTTTAAAAGAAAAGCATTGTAAAGAACCATTGACGACACAGAGAGAGAGAGAGAGGAGGTACATTAACGTACTTTGCATAATTCGTATGGATAGATTGCAGTAACATCAATCACAGAACACTACGCGCAAAGCATGGCTTGTGGAAAACCTTTAATAAGCAATAAGGCAAAGTTATTTCTTCACTCAGATGTTCGAACGTGCTAACAAGATGACACTTACAAGGACTCGGGGGAACTCATAAACTCATAACAAGAGGGGGAACTCATAAACTGCTTTATCTGAACAGGGAAAATGCTGTCGAAGCAGTGCGAATTTATCAGCGAAATAATAAGACAAGACCCATGTTCCAAAAAAAACCGTACTTAATTTGGTAAAAAATTTGAAGAAACTGGATGCACATGTGACAGACCGCATTCCGGACGACCACGTGTTCCTGTTCAGGTTGTTGTGGAAACACGTAATACAATTACTGAAGATCCATTGCATACTGCAAGAAGTGTTGCCTGCAGTTTGTATGTCAGTCATCAGACAAATAGTCGTCAGAATCGGCAGAATAAAATGCAGAAGTCATCAGGCTTCTGCATTTTTATTCTGCCGATGTTCTCTCAACGATTCCAGCGCGTCCGGATGTTGCAATCTGGAAATGAACAACAGCCTGTCGACTTTTTCAGCAAATTTTCCCTCAACAAATATGATATAGATAGCAGATGGCCTCTGCAGGTATTATGGACTGAGGAGAAGCATTTCTCCTTAACTGGGAACGCAAATTCCAAGAATTGCTTTCAATGGTCCGACGAAAATCCTCACGATGTCGCATCAGCTACTTTACACGAAGGTAACTGTAGGTGCAGCATTGCAAGCACATCCCTTCTTCAAAGAGGTCACTTTTACAGGTATGCAAACATGCTCCATAAGGCGTGATTCGGATACAATAATGCTGCAGAATTAAGTGTGATTTCAGAATTGCAGCCACGAAATGTCGCTAAAGATATTATATGTATGCAAGATGGTACTCCTCCACACCAAATGTCTTCGACAAGTGCTGCATCAACACTTTGGAGATAGGGACATCACCCGTAGCTTTGCAGTTTCGTGGCCACCTCGATGCCCCGGCCTTACTTTGATGGAATTCTGATTCTGAGGTTATCTGAAATCTGAGGCTTATTCATCAAATCCAAGAGATTTGTCAGAATTGAAAGATGCCATAAAACATAGTTATATAGATTCCTTTTGGGATGTTGCGTTAGTTATTGTTTTGAACAATTTGTCTCATGCAATACATTATCGTCTTCGAAGACGAGCACGTTGAAAACTTGTAATTCCAATATTTCCCCCCCCCTCTCCTCTCTTGTGTTGTCACTGGTCCTTTACAATGCTCTTTTTTGCAAATGTTTTAGGCCAGTAATTTTCGTCATACATAGATTATTCCAAAGGCATTCATGGTTTTTCAATGCGCTGATCAATTTGCGCGGGAAAAAGTGAGTGTTGCCATTCTAAAATTTCAGAATGTTTTCGCTGTAACTGTAACCATAGGAACTTTATTGGTTTAAATCATCACGATCTTGAGCGCATACCTTCTAATAACAATATTTGAAATTTCATTCAATTGTTTGACTGGATAGACCGCTGGGAGGGTCGTATATCAGTGAACTTATTTCATGACCGCCTCTATATGGGGGAAAATAATGGAGTGTAAAAGCGTTTACTGGATTTAACTAAGGCTGGTGCTAGAATAACAGCATCTGGTGGTAGAATTTAGGAACAGCAAAAGTTTTAGAATTAAACGAAGTTAAATGAAGCTTCAAGCAATAAAATTCAGGGTGACAAAATTAAAAGTATTTTAGGCAGGCACTGGTCAGCAGAATTTAGGACCTGCAAAGTTTGCATCGGGCGGCAAAATGCCTAGCGCCGGCCTTGTATTTAACCCATGCTCATATCGCTATTTGAAGTTAACAGTAAGGAAGAAATGAAACTAAATTTAACAACTAAATATAAATGTGTGATAATTCCCTCTTTATTCTCCCTTTCTTTAGTGTATAATATTTTTAAACGTATCATCAGATATTATCATCACTTTTATTATCATCAGATAATTATTATCATATCTGATGATATTATTATTGTCATCAGATATGTATATTATTATATCAAGAGATAGATGGATGTTTTGAAGAATTTTTCTTCTAAGTTTTCACCAAAGAAACATTTAGATACAAACTAGAAAAAGTTCACTGAAGCAATATGACTAATTAAATATAAATAATATCAGCATAAAGTATTTTATGTGCTTTGATTACCATAAAATTAAGAAGAATGTGAAAGGAACACACTGCTGTTAAATAGCGATTAAAGCTGATTGTTCACTTATACTATGCATAATACATAACTGTCAGCACTTCCACCATTCTTCAGATAATTGTAAACTGAAGACCCGTTGGGTTAGGCCGCACAAAACTGAAAATTGTATAGCTAAAAGACTTGAGAACGTAATGTGCTGCAACAGTAAACAACCAGGACATACTGCGAATTATCGTGGTCGTTCGAAGTTCCCATCTGTTAAACCTTATAAAAACATGACTAATGTGTTAAATTCTGACTCTGTTAATAACGGGAATAATAAAAATGCCATGTTGTTCCTGGACTTAGCTATGCCAGTGTGTCAAAAGGCAAAGCTAATTCTATAAAAAATGTAAAAACAGCTAACAAAGCTGTTCCTGATATTATCAGTGACAAAAAACAAACCACTGAGGGCATTGGTGCAATTACAGACATTTTCAACCTTCTCAAAGAGCTGTACAACATGTCTAAAAACTTTCCTGTAACTTAACATATTAAGCAAAATATCAGCAAAATTACTTGAGCTGCATGAAGCTGAACATGCCATAGGCAAAATATTTATACTTCTCACAATTTTTGAAGAAATCATGAACAAAATGTAATCTGTTTGTAATATACTTTCTGGTATTTGTTCATAATATTATGTGTCTTTTATTATGGATATTATCCATTCTATCGTACCTACACTACTAATTAGTATCTATATCTCAGCATGGTTCTGGTATATCTCTCTTGTTGTTTTGATCTCTGTTTAATGTATTATGTACACTGCACGACATTGAAAATGCAACACCAAAAAGGCGTGCTCAGAGAGTGATGAAATTTGGAAAAAAGACAGAGACAGCAAGCAGCAATAAGTTATCTTTATTTCGAAATGATTAGTCAGAATACAGAGCGAGAACGGCGTCGGCTCAGTAGGATAGTGATAGTGATAGTGACGGAGGACGTGGCCACCACCCCTTTACTATTAAGTAAATTAGCATATAGGGCCACGTCCGCCCTTATACAGAGTAAAGCCAGAGAGGCCACATGGGAGGCTTGCACAAGGCGCCCAAACCCAACGCCTGGACCATCCGGTTGGCAGTTCCGCGAACCAAATGCCACCGGGTAGACACCCGTCCAAAGTGCCCGGGTCCAGTGATTTTGAATCTTCAAGAATAGCATTGTACATGGCTAAACAAGGGCAGATATACATTAGTAGTTATTTACATGCTTCTGTTAATACATATTTGCTGACATGCAATCCAGCACTGTTACATACATATACTTTCTAAATACCTACATGACATTACCTTAATTTGCTTTGGAATAATAAGACAGAGCTAGTATATACACTTAGCACAATAAAAATAAAAATAAGTATAAAATAAATAATAATAATAATAATAACAACATACATTAGGACACGCTTGCCCACACTATATACACACATCGCAGACATACCTAGATTACTTATGCTTGAATGATACTGATTTACATTGAAATTTGCTGACATACTGACCAGTTATATTTACACATGGCATAAGTCTGGACCCATGTCCATTAGCTTATCAATTATATGAGTAATTTTGTTGGTCTGGTGTCGCTGCTTGACCATAAATCTGTTGAATGCCTCCCTGTTCGTCTGCGGGAACGGAATGTGCATTCCCTCCGTGAGAGGACATTCATGAACGTAGTGTTCTGCTGTGCCCAGATCGCCGCAGCAGCACTGATCCGAATTGGAGATTCCAAATCTCTCAAAATATACTGGAAAGGGCCCATGCCCTGTGATGTATACACCATTTGTGGCCGTGCAACCAGTAGTTCCCTATCTACTTTAGGTAGAAATGTATGCGCTCGGCGGCCTGTGTCTTCGTTGTCCCACGCAGCCTGCCAGAGTGCTAGAGCTGTGGCGCCGACTAAGTACTGGCGCGCAGATTCCGTTTCAAATGAGAAACCGGTCATGGGATTTGTACTGGGACTGCTTCGACGTTATGGGCTGCTTCTTTTGCAAGCCGATCTGCAGTCTCATTACCATGATTCCCGATATGGGCTTTCGTCCATTCTAGATTAATTTTTAATTCTTTATGAGCACGGAGGTATTCCTGAATAGCTGCTATTATTGGAGAACTGTGGGTGGGGTTAAGGATGGCGCATAACGTAGACAGGCTGTCTGTTATTATGTAACTATTGTATAGCCTCTGCTGAATTATCGCTTGCAGTGCATAGCTTATAGCTGTGGCCTCGCTTTGAAAGACACTATTGTGCGCTTCCATATGCCCCTTCCATTGGCTTACTATTCTACCCTCTTTAAGTGCTGCATATGCACAGCCTACACTGTCGTCTATTTTAGATCCATCCGTATAATAGGTAACATCTATGTTCGTGGATCTTGTGGTCTGCTTTAGGTTGACATTAACACCCCGTCCTTGCAAAGACGGGTGCCTGTCAAGGCTGATGACTGCTCTTTCGAGGTTATCTGCAGTAAACACCTCTTCTCCAAATTGCGTTGTTTGGCCGAGTTGCTTGACTATCTGGTACGTAGCTTCCTTCTCGACACTAATCGACAAGGGTAGTATGCCAGCCAGGACTGCCAGTGCATTGGTCGGGGAAGTTCTAAATGCTCTCGTGATATTTAATAAAAACGGCCGTTGGATGCTTTGCAAATGCTTTACTTTTCTGCCCTGCATCGGTAAGGCCCAGACAGCTGCTCCATATGTCACGATCTTCTCAGTGACGGTGTTATAGAGGATCTTGAGGATATGGGGGTTGAGACCCCAGCGATATCCTTTCATCATCTTGAGCTGCTGAGCGATGCTTGCTGTGCGCTGTTTTAGAGAGAGCACATGCGCTATCCAATTCAGTTTGTCATCAAATATTATTCCCAAGTATTTGAGTTCTCGCTTGATTGCAAGTCGTTTCCCATTGAGCGTGATGCGTGGTTGTCGCGTTAGGGAGCCTCCTTTTTTGGAATCAATAAAACTTGGGATTTTTCTTCGGCAATCTTCAACTTCAGCGTTGCACATCGCTCCTGAAAGAGGTCGCAGGATTCTTGGCAGTTTCTCTGCAATTGCTCTCTAGTGGGGCCTTGTACTATTAGTGCCGTGTCATCGGCATATGCAACTATTTTCGTGTGACTTGGCCACGGCTGTGTAAGTATACTATTGTACGTTAAGTTCCATAGGAAGGGTCCCGCGCAGGAACCCTGCGGACATCCCCTTGTTTGATTATTTTGTAGTATGCCACTATTATGCTGCAGAATTAGTTTTCGTTCTGCGAGATAGTTCTCCAGTGTCCGATAGATATTCCGTGGACAGCGTGAGTTCCTTAGTGCCCGTAGGATTGCCGGCCACCACAACGTGTCAAAGGCACTTTTGAGATCGACTGAGATGAACGCGGTGTGATGACCGGACAATCTGTTTTGTAGGAGACATTCTTTAACCTTCATGAGAGCATGGACGGTGGATCTGCCTGTACGGAACCCATATTGATCCTCGCTCAGGTAATTACTAGAGTGCAAGTGATGTCGGAGCCTGTTCACTAACAACTTTTCAAATGGCTTACCAAGCGCTGATAGTAAGCATATTGGTCTGTAGGCATCCGCTCTTCTCGGATTCTTGTTCTTTTTAAGGAATAGAATTACTTTGCCGATCTTGAAGCACCTGTGGAACGTGCCAGTACTTAGTAGCTTGTTGAATAGCTGTCGAAATAGATTGATATTCGAACGCACAATAAGTTTAATTATACGATAGTCTACTCCGTCCGGCCCAGGTGCTTTTTTTGCGGTAGGCACTTTAAGACGTGCAATATGTTTTGTGAAACAAGCATCTTCTGCAGTATCAATGTCCGAGGTATATCGGATTATTCTATGTGCTTGAGTGTCTTCGGAGGAGTCGTCTGTGGTGAAGACCGCCTTCACGATTTCTGCAAGCATGGTCTCTGTGAGTTTATTGGAAATCTCTGGAACAGGTAGCAGATGGAAGGAGGCGGGTTTGAAAAGCTTACACGTGGCAATCTTGTGGTGTATGCCATATATTTCGGTATTTTCCGTGCAAAAATTTCTCCAGCTTTCCAGTTTGGCCTGTAGGATCATTTTCTTATATTTTGCTCTTTCCTGTTGAAAGGTGATGAGCGTGTTAGAAGAAATATTGTGACGCCGTTCCTGCTTAAGACGGCGTCTAAGGGCGCGAACTTTCTGCTGTTGTTCTCTGAGATGACTGCTCCACCAGTTTAGATTAGAGATCTTTTTGGTTGTTCTGGTTGGCAACAGTTCATTACAAACTGTTCTTATGGTGGACATTATGTCACTCGTTATAACTTCTAAGGCTTTTTTTGTAGTTGCTTTTTCGATCAACTCTACGAAATGGGCAAGTTGGGATTTAATGGCTGCAGCAAATGTCCTTACTTTATTACCTGGCAAGTTATACCTCTTGATTATCGAGGTGGCTGTCTCACTGGCGATAGAAAATCTAATATAATTGTGGTCTGAAAGGCTTAAGCCTTCCACGACCTGTCCAATCCTGAATCTTTTGCGCAATTTGCAATGTTGCTACTGTAAGGTCGGGCCATCCCTGTGAGTGGACGCGATCGAAGGTGGGTGCAGCATCATGATGATTAAGTACGCTCATATTTTGACTAGAAAAGAAATCTTCTAGCATCCGGCCTTTAGGATCAGTGCTGGCATATCCCCATGTGGAACTGTGGGCGTTGAAATCCCCAGCACATAAGATGTTATGGGACCTGTACCGCTGAAGTAGTTGCTGCATTCGCTGGATAGTTGTATCTATATTAGCTGTCGAGGGGAGTATAGTGAGACCAAGAGAACCGTTATGTTGTGCATCTCAAGAAGAATAGCCACGAAGTCTCTTTCTGTGGTGATGATAACCGGTGTCCACGCTGGGTTGCAATTGATCAGTATTGCACGGGGTGAATCGTTAACATCTTCTTTTTGGTACACTGTCCATTGTAGAGGATAGCCTACCGCTTTTCCCTTCAAGCAGTATGGTTCTTGGGCAAATATTAGATCAACCCCTTCGGTTGCGGCATATGCGGCAGCTTGTGCCGTGGCTGCTTTGGCATGTTGCAGATTAATCTGAAGGCACCTTATTGGTGTTTGAACTGGGATCGTGTCCATATTAATGTCCGTTGTCAGCAGTGCAGCGTCCAGTTGCTGAGGTGGCTGGGTTAGACTATTACTGGTATGAGGTGCAGAAGTAACTGAAGGCTGTGACGTACTTGCTTCTGTATGGGTGTTCACAACACTTTCTCTTCAGTATTCCGTTGCGCTACGGACGTTGTCAACTGCCCGTTGATAAATTGCGCATTCTGCTGCATAGGCAGGGTGGTGGAGGTTGTATCTGGTACAACCTGTAATTTGCGTCTCCGCAATTAATGCATGATGGTTGGTCTCCAGTGCAGTCTCTGGTTGCGTGAGCGCCGGAGCAGAAACCGCAGAAGATCTTGGAGGACCTGCACACGTCCTGGCTGTGGCCAAACTGTTGACAGCGATAGCATCTTCGTACTCCAAGGAACTCGGAGATGCCATGCGCTTGCCATGCCGTGAATATGCGCTTTGTCTTGATTGCTGCATCAAATCCTTCTGTGGAGCACTCGATGATCCATTTGACCCTCTGTGGGCGTCGCTCACGCAGACGGAAGAGGATCTTGAAATGCAGGGCGGAGATTCCAGCTGTCGTGCTGAGCTCAGAGATGAGCTCCTCTGGCTTGGTATGCTCCCCGACATTATGTACTGCTATTCTTGGTCGACGTCGCTGTTTCCTCTGTATATCTATATAGATGTCTGCTTTTTGAAGATGGTCCTTTAACTTGTCAACTTCTTCGGGGTATCACAATAGACTTCCAGACCTCCTTGCGGGGCAGGCTGTATTCTCCGTACTGCTACGGGGATTTTGTCCAAAGGGACCTTGTCTTGTAGAGCTCTCCGCAAATCCTCTGTTGGCCTTTTGGTCTTTGGTTTAATCACGAGACTGGGCTTACAGTTCTTGCGCACGGCCTCTGCAAAGCTTTGCGGTGTACTGTTTACTGTTTGCGGAGGGGCCTGCTCACAGGCGGGCTGTTGCGCAGATGGAGAGGGAGTATGCACTGTACCACAGCAAACAAAAGTAGAGGTATTGGTACCTGCCTCTATTGCTGGCGGTTTGGGGCGATACTCTGGACCCTCTAAGGCAAGGCCTTGGAGCACAGATAATGCGTCCTTCAGTCTATTCCTTAAATCTTGAGGGAGAAGGTATCTACCTCCTCGGCTTGTATCGGTGATATTCCGGATCTCGTTGGCTAGTGCAGAGATCTTTTCTGGTGTTGTCCGATCGGACTCTAGTAATTCTGCTGAATTAAGCTGTGTTGAGTTACTGGCTTCCTCTGGGAGCTTGGACTGGCGTGTCATGTCACAAGTAGAAGCGTGATCCTTTAAATTGACACTATGGAGTCGCTGGGTAACACGTATAATGCACTATTGAAATCACTCTTGACACTGATGTGTACACTAAAATACGCTTATTTCAGCGTTGTATGCGCTTAAAAACACTGTACGATACTATTCACACTAGCTATGACACTAGTGTCGCACTTTAAATCACTGAAGAGAAAAACTAACTTCACTGAAACAAAGCCTAGCGTTGCTTGGTCACTGCAACAAACACTATATTTCTAGCTGAGGGCTTTTTTTTAACTAATGGCCATGCACTATTCATTCACTTAAAGACACTGAAATTGATATTGGAACAATTTGCACGTATTTACACTTGTGATGCACTGTATCGCACTGAAATGTATAATAACTTTCACTGAGATGCACTAACGTTGCTTGAACACTGAACTAAATCACGCACTATACTTTACCGACGCTTTGACTAGGGGCTGGGCACGATTAATTCACTTATTAGCACTGTTGTTGACACAATTTGCACATATAAGCACTAACGAAGCTTCAATCGTTGAGCTATAGCACACACTTATCGTGAACTGAAGACTGGTGGTTATGCACTATCAGCTCACGTTGTAACACTGGATGTGACTCTAAATAACGCTTGTAAATTGACGTTTAATCACTGAATTAGCACACACAGTACATTAAACACTTTCACTGTAAAGAACACTGTTTCACTCAGCACTGTAATAACTTTGTAAAAAGAATGGCACTTAAATACCTTGTGTAATTACACGTATTATCTTATTTATGCCAACGTGGAGACTCTAATTGTACACTATGTGATAGTTTGTCTGGTTCACAGGAAATTACAATCTGGTATACTTAAAAATTTACTCATAACACAAAGTAAACATGTAAATGGCACTAAGAGTTAGAAAATTACTACAGTTTAACTGAGGATAATTGAATAGGACCAATTAATAGAATAGTACAATAATCAAAATCAGCACTGTTAATTAGCTTAATTAGAGGCGGTTAATCAACGGTGAAACACTTTTAAATCTGTAGCCTGAAAACACATAAATACATGGTAACAGATACTTGATAAATTTGGCCAGAGTACCAGAACTGTTACAAGGATACTGTTATTTGGTCAGTTAATTAACAGTAATTAATTAGAATAGAGAACTGAACGACAAGAATTAAGAGTCTAAAAGTACCTAGGTCAAACTTGGGTCTGTAGTGTATTATTAAAGTACTAGTTAAGAATTATTACCAGAAGTTAAGATTAGGTAGGTTGTAATTAAAATTAATTAGTTACTTAATCAGCGCTTAAAGCCTACCTTGGCCGATATCGCTTCTCTGTTGTCTTGGTCTGCTTCTATATACACGTAATCCAAACAAATAGCC